GATTTTAGGTTTCAGGTATTTTAGGTAAAGCTGGTTTAATATTACTTGGTTAATGACAGTGCTTTCTCGTTCGCAGGCAATGTGAAGCAAAACCATGAATATCATCTCTCAGCTACATCTATATCCCCACCAACAGAGACACATCATATAATCTAGTGCATAAATAACAATGACCTCAGAAAGCTCAAGAAATTACTGAAGGACAATGATGTAAATGAAGTTTACCCTTGTAGCGAATGGTGTGATCATATAACCCCACTGATCTCCGCTGTTGTAAATCACACATATATCTGTTCTTACCTTGTGCGTCAGGGTGCAGACCCAAATATACCTTCTCAACTCCACTGGACACCTTTGCATTATGTCTCATATTCCAAAGCACCACTTTATTTTGTGGCTCTGTTGCTCGAGGCAAAAGCTAGCCCAGATGGATGGAGTCCTACTCCAATGCAACAAGAGATACCCACACCACTGCAAGTTGCAGCCTTTCAAGACAGGGAGGATGTCATGAAAAGACTCATCTCTGCTGGCGCTTTGGTGACACTGCTGCCCATAAACAATCCTCAGTGGCTTATGGAAACTAAAAAAATATCTCAGATGATTAATCACCTTGCATCAAATGGAGATAGAGTGTGTTCCCAAATCAGACGCTGTTAGAGGATCCTCGGCTCCATCTGACCATAATTGAAATCTTTTAGAGTGTGTTCCCAAATCAGACATTTTTTGGATATGGAAATTTCTCTTTTTGAAAAAACATCTGATGAAGTTTTTCAATTTTTCAACAGTCACATGTTGTTAGAGGATCCTAGGTTTCATCTGACCATGATTGAACTCCTTTTTACTGTTACTGGGATAGGGAAGGATAAATACTGCCAGGCTTGCATTAAATGGCTAAAGGAAATGTAAATACTTACATTGTAGGTGCAGCCAGTCGCTTTCCAAACATCCCTCAGACACATGTAGGGAGGGCAGTTGAAAGTTTGAGTGCAGTTTTCTGCACAATGGATGACATATCAAATGAGCATGCAGTAGCTATAATTCCACAACTACTGAAACTGCTTT